AAGCAATTGCGTTTGCTGAACCCCACGAGGGCTTTACCTATCTCCTTATCGATTRTTTTGTTTGTTGATGAAGCCATTAAGCCAGAAATGGATCTCTTCTGAGAATTCCGTGTTTTACGCGAATATCTCTGGAGAACGTGAATTTTCTTAATAATCTTGAACAGTTTTCGAAAGTCGAAATCGTCATTATCGCTCAGTACGGACTTCTAAAGCTTGAAGAGAGTCTGTTTTAGTACAAACGACCAGTGAGTTCTAATAACTCCACAAAAAGTAGTCTAATGGTGTTAAATCATAACTCTTTGGAAGCCATTCAGTGTCACAATTTCTTSAAATAATCGAATTTCCGAAATTTTCTCGAACTAATTCGGTTCAACTACTTCCAACTGCGGACATAAAAAGTTGTATGTAATCGTTCTGTACCGCTCTCTATTGTCAGTGCCACCATTTCAAAAGAAGTATGGACCGAGGATTTCGCCAGACTAAAAACCATACCAAACTGTCAAATTAGGCGAATTTAATGGGTTACATGGGTTTCCTTGGGCAAAAACAGTCTTTTTTCAATTTTTTTTTTTTTTTACATATAAAAATGAAATATTTGAATGAAATTTTTTTTTTAGTTAAAAGACTCATATTTAATAAACAGTTTGTAAAATTTTCAAAAAAAAAATATCAAAATGGCGGTCATTACGCAGTCCCTCGGAAAAAGGTGCATCCCGTTGTCAGCTCTCTCAGGATCACCTCAAATAAAAATAAAAAAATACGTGTTTTAATAAAGACAATAATCTAGGTATTGGACGAAGGAAAAAAAAAAAAATAAAAAATTTAATTGGATTTTTGGATTTTTGGCAGACGTTTCTATAAAAAAATGCAAATTTCGATGAAAATTTCTCGAAATTTTGTTTTTTTTTTTGATAGTTGTAATTAAAAAAAAGTCCTTCGTTCAAGATCTTGTAAGTTATATCTCGAAGATYTGTGTAAAATTTCATCAAGAACTTTGAAAACAAATTTTTGAGAAAAACGCGTTAAAAGTTTTACCTACTGCGCCCTCAACCTATACCTGACCTCGAGCGTCCACCTTTTCAAGGTTATACCTCCGAAACTATGAGTCGGATCAACTTGAAAATTTAATACAATATTCTAGAGATGTTATAGAATTTAATAAGACAATCGATTTTTTGAAACTGTGAAACCCATGTAACCCCTTAATGATTGTTAATGAATAGTTTGTGGATTTTATTYGCACCGGAATCGACAGTTCTACTTATTTACCGCATCACTTACATGAAATTGAGCCTCATCGAAGAAGATGATTTGTTTAAAAAAATWGTTACCGTTTTCAAGTTGGTCCAAGTCAAAATCAGCAAATTCACTACATTTGGTCAAATGACTTCAGTTCTTGAGAGAGAACAATTTTCTTTGGATGTAAGCTCTAATTCTCTCTCAAAATTCGCCAGGTTGTGGTTTAAGAAAGAACCAATGCTTGAGAACGTCTTGGAATCGASAAATTGAGGTCTTCAGCAACACTTGSCAACCATAAAGTCWCAAAAGCACACGAAATTTTTAAATTGGAGAATGATTATTTTGATAATAAAATTGAATAATTTGTAAACGTGGTTCTTGAATCCGAATTAATACTAACTTCTAATTATTTTATTCGGAAAAAAGAATCCGAAGTGAAATATACGTGAAATTCCTATTGCAAATTTATTAGATGCTTCCAATCAAGCATAAGCCAACACGCACTGCTGCTAATGTAAACATAACTGTATATACCTACGAAAGTACACAGAAATCAATTTACATCATCAATAAAGTAGCGGTACTTATACATTGTTCACTTCTAATAACTGTATTGGTATTCTKGAAATCAATCTGCTGATTAAATTTTTAACTACAAATTTTATACACCAGCCATATTTAAGTAAGTTACCTTGCTCTTTCTTCGCTTGATTATGCATCAGCAGGCAACAACAAGTATTCGCTTGTACTCTCGTGCTGAGTGGGTATGAAACAGGTCAACAATAAGCTGGCCAATACATGCAACGTGTTCAATAAAAATTTACAATTTTATGAAAACAAGCAAACGCGCGCACACACACACGCGCACACATATGCAAGCCAGCAGATTCAGCGCAAGGATGATACACTTCATAAGGACACAGCTACGGAATTTCAATATTGATTGTAAAATTTTATTTTATTTTATTTTTCTACTTCATTACAAGTGCCCATCCACACATAAAAGCGGCTATGCAAACGTCAAGGTTCATAAGTACAAGCGGGTGGGCGGGAGAAAGAGTGGCGGTATGTGGTTTGCCCTGTGCGCCTTTGTATATGCAAGAATAACGTAATATTGCAGGCTGCAAGTGTTGCTTTCAAGCTTTCAAGCTTCCAAGGGTATTGTATTCAAACATGCGCATATAGTGCATGCTAACTTTAAAGAGGGGCTACACTTGTGGACTTTTTACAACTACATATATACATATGTACATGTTAATGCTGATATTACATACCTTTTTGTATATGCATACACAGTCTATTGTGTAATAAGAATTTGACTAAGATCGTCAAGATTTTATTGATAACAAAATTATGCACTCAATTAATAAATAATATGGAGCAGGGTTAAAAATCTTAATTAGAAATAATTTAAAAATTTCCAATCTCAAAACTTACATTAAAAATTCAAAGTCTAATTTCTGATCCAAAGTTTGCGAAAAAAAATCGCAAATGCGCTGAAAGTTGTTTTTAGACTTAAAGTTAAAAGATTTAAGCGGTCATATACAGTTAGAAGACCGAAAAAGGCAAATTTTCCARATTTTTTTCTGAGTAGACTTATATGGTATCTTTTAACTGTATTTTAAGACTTAGTATTAGTAAAAATAATTATTTGGAAAGGAACTAAAGCTKATCTGCGTAAGCTCCAGCTCAAAACGACATGTTGCGGCGACCACTATATCTCTTAACTGAATCCAGTGAAATTAAAGAAAAAAAAACATGTTTCGTTAAAGTAATATTAAATCCAATTAATTGGAGGAATAAACAAAATAAATGTCTTTGACAAATTCGCGATTTCTAAAAAAAAAAAACTAATTATTGACCAAAATTTCGGAATTGCATTGTTTATAAAAAAATTTATTGATAAAAAAGATGTATATAAATTACTAAAAAAATATATTTAAGATATTCGTGTTAAAATTTGAGATTAATCGGCTTAGCCGTTTTCGAGTAAAGGTGGCTAACCTACTTAAAACCATCATTTTGGGAAAAAACTTGCGTGTAACTTCAAAAATATTCACCGGAACGATATGACATTTTCTGCGTGYATTCTTAAATATATAACTAAAGTTTCGGTTTTTTTCTAGGGAGAGATTAAAGAAAATACACATACAATTTCAAGTTGCCTAAAAAGCAAGGTAACTCAAAAAACCGAATTTGCTCAAAACTGCTATTATTTTCGGTCCTCCAAAATTACATTCTTCATACAATCGAAAAAATTCAAGGTCATTGTATAGAAGAACGTTTAAAGACTTTGCAGGAAGAAATCCAATTGGAATTGCAGTTCACAAATCAACAAAAAAGTTTAGGTATGCAAAGACTRCAGCAACAAACAGCTATTCACTTTTATTCTACCTCTATGTACATATGTAAATGCCTATACCTATGTATGCGAAAGTACATACCTATGTATTTGAAGCAATTGCCTTAAGTAATAACGTTAGAATTGTACACCACATAAAAAATAATCTCTTTGTTAGTGTAAATTGCAGCAACAAAATTAATGTTACTACCACCCGCAAGTTGGTTACATAACTGACCCTCAAGAACGCCAATGTCACATACTAACATGCACAAGTATGCACGCATACACTTGTATAGACATACATAACTGCAGAGTTGCATGCTCACTTGCAGCAAAGCTTAATGGTAATGAGTTAGTCCAGTTGGACGCAATGTCGTATGCAAACAATAAAATTTGCTTCGGTATCCCACTTTATGGGGCTAAACACATTAACCGTTACGTATGCATTGTTGTGTTAACATAAAAGTACCCGAAACCAACTGCGCAACAGTTGAAAGTTCAAATTGTTAGTTGGTTAATGGAATACAAAAGTTGCGCTTGGAAATGAATATCAAAAAAACATACACAGGGTAGTTAGGTAAAGTTCATAATAAACATTTTTAAGTTTTGAGAAGCAAAGRATATTTTAAATACTTATATCTTTAGGTTACATTAACTACTCTCTAGAAATCTAGCACAAGGTGGAAGGAAGTCTGCCTAAAGAGAATATTCAATTGGAAAAATGCTCCACGAGTTTATTATTGGTGTTTATGTACCTACATATGTGTATTCATAGTAAAAGCTAACAAGTGCTAAGTAGAAAAGATTGCACTTTTGGGAATAACCTCAACATTTGTGTTGAATTAACTGCAGGTTTCTTAGCAAAATTCCGTGATAGCGYAGACATTGGCTTTATGACCTGCTTTTTTTTGCGGACTCTACATTATTCTTTGCTTGTAGSTACTGTTCTGCCATTTACACAAGAGTATCACATATTAACGTTAGAGCACATAACCTCCTAACTGAAGRGTCACTCAATTTCAGTTGAGTACATATATTATTAATTTGCTGCATACAGACTAACACGCACTAGTCAATTATTCACATCATCGCAACCTTTTCATTAACCTTCGCAGAATAATTGAAACACCGTTCATTAATCACTTAAATACCATCATTTTGTCTAGCCAGCAATTTAATTTTTAGGCTATTTTGAGACATCCAGTAATTAGCACGAAAAATGGTAGACAAAATTACCCCTACAGATTACCCTTGTCAGTTTTGATTAACAAATTTGCTTTTCCACAGCGACATACAAAATAAAAATGGAATATTTTTAAATTCCGTAACTGATGACCGTAAAATGGAATTTTAATACAAAATACATACATATTTATGAAAATTGAAATAATTTTTCATACTTTTTTCTTGTACATACCTGGTATAGGCCCACATACACGGGGTATTATTTCTAAGATAGCCGAACAAGATGGGTCTTCGAAGCATAACTGGCGTGCCAAAATACAATTGAGTGTAGCAGACGCCACTTTTATGTTAGAACCTGCAATTAGAAGGGAACAGAAATGTAATAAAATTGCCGAAAACTATAGTTTGTAAGATTTATTTATATATATAACATGATATGTAAGAACCAATGCGCAACCAAGATTCTTCAAGCGTGCATAGCCGGAGCCGGCGATTGCAACTGCCACAAGTTTTCCAAGAGCATCGATCACCCGTTTATGTGCATATTTGTATCTAATATATACTTTTAAATAAAAAATAAAATGCGCCAGGCATAATACATTTTAACACTTTTGTTTAATAGTTCAAAAAGAAAAATTAAATAAAACTTTAAACAACGGGAAGGAAGTGAGAATTGTCCAAGGTATGGAAAATTAAGAAGAAGATCAACATTCACAGTAGTTTCACAAACCTCAAACCAGAGAACGTATAGCACGTACAGAGAACGCAGAGAACGTCTATCATTGAGTAGGCTTATGATTCAGATATCGTAACTTTTCGCAGGGGTACTCGGCAGAGATGAGAGAGTTTCACCGCAGATAAATTATAAGCGTGTTTCACCAGAGGACTCGAAAAAGCAGAAATAAGCATTTTCAGTTTTAAATGAGAAAAGTAATGATAATTCCAATGTTAAGGAATGTACGCTTACAGATTCGCATATTTACTATGCGTAAACGATTCTGCATATACTTTATAGATGATCGGTATATATTTGGTACCAAAGCATATACTTTAGTATATATACATTTATGTGGTAAAATTGGAAAATTTAATTTAAAATATTAGAACGCTCTCTGGTTTTCTCTTAAAATACATATTTAAAAATGTATAAATTGCTGTTGGCTACACCCTGTTAGCCAAGTTGCCAACCATGCGCGCTGTCATTATTTTTATTTCGTTGCGCAGGCAGCAGCTATGCCGACTTCGACGTCAACAGCGACGTCGTACACTTATTGACATTCCGCAAGATCAGCTGTGCACTGGAATATTTATTTACTTTTATTTCATGATAAAAAGAATTTTACGTAAAAGTTTCATTTCAAAATTGAATATAAAACTGCCATAATCTGTGTATAAAATGGAACTCGATCCGGATATTGTGAAAGAATTTGAAAATCTCGAAGTGTCTACTGAGAAACCAACTGAGGAGCAATTACGTGAGTTCGACGCAGATGCGCCATTGCAGGCACCAGCCAAAACGCTGCATCCCACTTATTCGACGATACCGAAATTCTTTCATGCACCACCGCCACAAAACAATGCACTACGTCAAAATCTGCGCAAAGAAGCGCAATCACTCTTTCTACAGAAACGCTCACAAGAGTTGCTGGATAACGATGAGCTCGGCGCATTGTGGACTTTGCTGGAGAAACATTGCACGCAGGTAACGCCTGTGGGACAGCAACTCATCTGTTATGATGACTACCAAAAGTTGCTGGAAGCAGTGAGCACAAAATGTCGCAAATATTTGACTGCACGTCTATACGCCAAATTGCAGTGCCATTCCATGTATCCAGGTAAGTACGCACAAGGCGCCTTTTACACGAGTGTGTGTGTGGTAGCGTGATTTTGATGAGCCTATCAAATGCTTACGATATTTTGCAGGTAAAGTTGAAATCGTTTCCATCTTCAATTATACAATGCGTAAAGTGTGGCTAACACAGGGACGCATAGGCCTGTCGTTGTACGATGAAATCGGCCAAGGTTATTTGCGCGAAATCGATATGGAGAATTATATTATTGATATTATACCGACATTAACACAGATCAGCAGTTGCGTGCAACCATCTTTTCAAAGTTTCTATGTCTGCACGGTGGTGAAAAAATTTTTCTTCTTTCTCGATCCATTGCATACCGGGCGCATACGCATACGTGACATACTMGGGTCGGGTCTGCTTACCGAATTGCTAGAACTGCGCGATGAGGAAACGACAAAAGAGTCGCAGGAGCAAAACTGGTTTTCTATGCCGTCAGTGCTTACCGTTTATGGCAACTATTTAAATTTGGATAAAGACCATAATGGCATGCTGAGCAAACAGGAATTGGCCGGTTATGGATCTGGCACGCTGACYTCGGTCTTTCTCGATCGCGTTTTCGATGAATGCCGCACTTTTGATGGCGAAATGGATTATAAAACTTTTCTCGATTTCGTTTTGGCGCTCGACAATAGACACGAACCGCAATCACTGCATTATCTCTTTCGCATACTAGATGTGCAACACAAAGGCTACTTGACGGTGCAAACGCTACACTATTTTTTCAAAGGCATACAAGAGCAAATAAACGCAGTTAATGCGGAAGCGGTGAATTTCGAAGATTTGAAAGACGAAATATTCGACATGGTAAAGTCTAAGGACCCATGCAAAATTACACTGCAGGATTTAATCAATTGGTACGTAGTGCGCGTGTGTGTGTGTGTGTGTGAGGTTGTGACATCTCTCATATCCTCAGGTTGGCGCAACAACACGTTATCATCATTTATTAATTAAGCTCCACTCATCCTGCTATTTATTCCAATTTCCTTTGTCATTGCAGTGGCCAAGCGGAAACTGTCGTCTCTATACTCATTGAATTTCACAAGTTCTGGGCATACGAAAATCGTGAGGATGGCTCACATAACGTTTAATTTCCACGCATTCAAATCGTAACTTAATTATAAGSCTAGGATATTATGTAAATCGACTTTAGATTAAGGCGATGCAGACAGAACAGTTGAAAGGCAGAGCAATCACTCGTAGCACCGAGTTGTGCCGCTTGAACCATAAGACTTTGAATWTGTAATGTGCTGCCATTATTAGGATATTCACTAAGCAGTTAATAAGTACCGAAAAGGTGTAGTTGCGACGTTTACTCTTAAGTGATTAAGCTTATTTATACACAACAACAACAATGTACATTCCAGCAAAACGCTACGCAGTAATTATTTATATGTAAGTATTTCTGTTTGTTTGTAKTTTTGTTGATTAGCCACGGCCGCCGTTTTAGCACCAGCGCAAATTGTGGCGATCGGCAGTAGCAGGAGTGAAACTAGTTATTTTTCATAAGTTAAAATTAAAATCCGACCGGCTTTTATGCCACGCGCGTACCGTTTGCATTTTTAGTTAATTTTTTTTTTWATTTAATGCGYCTCTGTGCATGGTGTGCGCACATTATTTTTTACTATTAAGTAGCTTTTATCTTATTTTGTTTTGAAGTACTTAAKTGKATGTGTTTGTGTATGTGAGGCTTATTCAAATCCATGCACAACAACTTCACCTGTCTTTTACCCGCTCAAATAATATGTTAATTTTAAAAATGTTATACGATTAAAGCTTAAGTATTAAACTCTTAGTGCAAATTTTAAAATAATTGTAAATAATTATTAATCGCATTACTTTTTAAATGTACACTAGTATTTATATTAAAAAATAATATAATTTTCTGCTAATAAAAAAATTATTAAATGCAAACTACGTACTTAAATACAGTTGTATTGCATTGTTCGACGCCTGACATAATTTTTATACCCACAACAGGGTATATTAAGTTTGTCAGGAAGTTTGTAACACCCAGAAGGAAACGGCGGAGACCTTATAAAGTATATATATAAATGATCAGTATGTTGAGCTGAGTCCATTTAGCTATTTCTGTCTGTCTGTCTGTCTGTCCGGCTGTCTGTATATATACGAACTAGTCCATCAGTTTTTAAGATATCGTTTTGAAATATTGCAAACGCATTTCCTCTTCAAAAAGCTGCTCATTTGTCTCGAACTGCTGATATCGGACCACTATAGCATATAGCTGCCATACAAACTGAACAATCGGAATCAAGTTCTTGTATGTAAAACTTTTGCATTTGACGGGATATTTTCACGAAATTTGGTATATATTATTTTCTAAGGCAACAATGTAATCTCCGAAGAAATTGTTCAAATCGGATCACTATAGCATATAGCTGCCATACAAACCGAACGATCCGAATCAATTGTTTGTATAGAAAACTTTCGCATTTGAAGTGGTATCTTCACGAAATTTGACATGGATTACTCCTAAAGGTAATAATATAATCTCCGAAAAAATTGTTCAGATCGGATTACTATAGCATATATGTAGCTTTCATACAAACTGAGCACATAGTTACTAAAAGAAATGCACCCGGGAAGGGTATATTAGCTTCGGTGCAGCCGAAGTTAACGTTTTTTCTTGTTTTTGGTATCCTTTTCTGCTTTACAATGCTCTTTGGTAGATTACAAATGGAAATCTAACCTCCCTGAGGTTTTATGAATATTTACATAAAATTTCTCGTAACTGGTTTTTTTCACCTGAATTTTTTATAGAAAATTAGCAATTCTCTTGTGCATTTGTCATTTGAGCCTTTTGAAGCTTTAACTACGAACTTTTTATCTCGCGCGAAAAGCAGATTTTGTTCTAATTCATGACCATTGAAGGTAGTTGCTTATCATCACGAGCAACAAAAAAACAACAAAAAAAAAAAAACACTTAAAATAATCACGAAACCATTTTTGAACAAAGGATCCACCGTAATACCTACACACGTATGGAAATACATATCTCCACGGTCAAAAAAATGATTTTTTTTTTACTACAAATTGCTAACACGCGAGGGTGTGCTTGTAAGTGAACCGCACCTCCGCTCCACACCATCACTCAAAAACATTTATAAAACATGCATTTTTTCACATAATTTTTTCGGCAGATGTCGCGCATACCTCCATATATACATACATACATATGTATATGTGACATATTTACAGAAGGACGAGTGTTCGAATAAAAGGTGGCGCTGGCGCTGTCCGCTGCCCACCGTCGACCTTCTCCATCCCTAACTGTCCGCCTTTCATTTCGTTTCGGCATTCGGTCASACACAGTTCATTTTCTCCTTCGCCGCTCGCGTGCTTTCGCTGCTAGCTGCTTGGTCGGTTGGCTGTTTGACAGGTCCGTCTGTCCRGCTGTCTGRCTGTCTGTTCAGTTAGCTTGCTCTCAGCGCTGTCGTTTGGCCTTTGTCAGTGTGGAGGCGGCCGCAGTCGGGTTCTATCTGCTGCTTTTCGCATGGAATGTGTCCAACTGTTTTTATATATCTGTGTATGTGTGTGTGTGTGTGTGTTTGTTAATTCCTGTGCACTTCTGCGCCAGCCAAACTTTCATTTGCACCGGCAACTGGAAATCCAGCATATGCATTAACAACTCCTGTTGGCCCAGCTCGTGCCCGGCGGAATTGCAGCCAAAGTTTGAATCCTCAAGGATTTCCGCTTTTGCATAACTAAAATGTGTGCACACTCGCGTGCATGCGGGAAAACTCGAAATTTATTCACAACAAACAAATTGCAACTTTGCAGTTCACTTTTCAAATTTGTTCACCATGTTTGACTCGCCGCCGCCGCCGTCGACTCCTACCCTAATCACCTCTTCGGCGTGGCAGCGCTCTCTTTCGCTCTACGATTTGCATTTTTGGCGCGCCATTATCGAAATGACCGTTTGCGGATTATTCCCATACATAAAAACTCTCGAAGTTATGATTAGCGTGTGTATGTGTGTGTTTTACTCAGTGACGTCGACAAAAGTTTGGCCTAGTGCAACGCAAACTCTGTCTAAAGTCGGCATAATAATTTTTCTCTTCAAACATATCAAAGAATATGCAYATTTTTGAGTAGTGCTGTTTTAGGAGGGAGTGAGCTTGTTTTTGGAGAGGCGGGTGGATTKAGACTTGTAGAAACTATGCACGATAAGGGCAAAACCTCGAACTTTTATATGTGGAGAGAACTTTGAATTTTAGGTTATATTCTTTATTTTCTTTATAAGCGTAGACAATCAAAGTGGTATTTCTTATTCCGGCCTGTTTCCTTCTCTTCAATGGGGGTGTTATTTACATGGCGAGTTCCAAACTCTGTGCACAAGCCTGGGGAGTGCTGTTATGCCTTTTAACTCGCTCGCCTTCAAGCGGATGCTTTTGATTAGAAAGCACTCTCTAAAAGAAATCCGACCTTTTTCTGGTCTCTTGGGTCCATTTATTTTATAAAATGACCTAAATTTGTTGCTTTTCTCCTAGAATACATGTTTTTAAACGATTTGAAAATTTCAACAATATTCTGACCTGAAATTGCCCGACCTTAGACAATGCTGAGAGCGCAGTGCACTCTGGACCTTTACAATTTACCTTGCGATTACATAGCTGCTCATACCACAAAAAGCCAACGGAGCTCCTACCCTTCCTAGCAAGTTCATCAGCCTTAGTTTCCTGCAATAATGCTGTGGCAACTCAGCTAAACCAGTTTGAATGTAAGATGACACGATGCTAAATATAAGGAGTCCAAACATCCTCTCATCAGTCTTGAGCGCACAGTCAGCAAACTCAAGGCTAATATCGTTGCTGCGCTATCGGTGTGTATAGTCACTACTCTGAATAGTCGACTGCTACTTTTATGACAACACCTCCACTTGGAAGTTGCTGCGGTGGTCAGGAACCTAAAAAGGTTCTCGAGATTATACTCCTACATCTAACAACGAGTTTGCTGGAAATTTTGTGTTTACAATGGAGGTTAGGGATTTGTCGAAAATATTGCAGTAGTATTTTGGAGAGGCGACTTTGACTTATAAGGCTTATAACAAGTACATAGAGAACTGGATTAAGCATTGGATTACTTCAATTTTTTCCGGAAGTGGACATTAATATTTTGAAGGTGATACTAACGATTTGTGTTAAAATATGTAGTTTCTGTAGGTTTTGTGTCAGTTCGGATCAAACTTGAACTCCATAAAAAAATTGTTTATCTATTTGGTTTGCAGGCGCAGATTAAATGAACCAGTCCGGGTTAAATTTGCTCAGCTTTTATATCTGCGACCAGGTAGAAAGCGAATACAGTAGTTATAAGTAAAGCTTACATATCATCAGTGTCCACAATGATTTAGATTCCTACAAAATACCATTCCTTTAATGACTTACAAGTCGAAATGTCCAACTAACACTTTAAAACTTTCATAAAAGCAAGATGAAAATCACTTCGGCTTTTGTCGAAATTGGACGTAGACATTTGCCTCCTGCCTACAAAACGCCACGCAGTCAACGCTCTTGTTGTGTTGTGGCATGCGGTTTTGTACATTAGGTTAGTTTTTCTGGTAGGTTTTTGTTTTATGAGCGTGTACAACAAGTCCACATGAGTCAGCCGTTATGATGAGCATAAGCGGGTTAAAGCAGAGTGGGGGTGTGTGGGGCCAACAGCTGGGCGGTCGGCTATGAGACAGCTACAAGGCATTAGTTTGCAAATGTTCAAGTCGTTATTATTGTGGTTGCTCCCAACAGATGAGTTTTAACTGCAATTGTTGTTGTTATTGTAAACTTTATCAGTTTTCATTTTCGCTAGGGATTTTGTTTTGCTTTTTTATTTTTATGCTTTTTGCTTTCGTGTTTTCGCCGAGTCATGGTATTTAGCAAAGTACAGCAATTTGACGTGTTAAGCATTATGATGGCGTAGCATAATAGCTTCGAGTGTTGGTGAGTTGTGAAGGAGTRGGCGATTGCAAATAAAGTACTTGAGAGCAATTTTATTGTGTGTGAGGATGTATGTTGGTGGAAGTGGACCAGTGGACCAGTGGAAGTGGGAGTGTGTAAAACTTTGTAGACTTGATGGCAGTCGAAAAAGCAAATGAAGGTTATGCACAGGAATTACTTGACATTTCTCAACTAAATTCTATGCTTAAAGTTATCCCAGTCTAGGAAACCGGACCAGAACCACGCCACAAAATTTTTAGTTCCTTCTGATTATTTAACTTTACAATTTTCAAATTAAGAATTAAGCAATCGCACAAATAGTKTTGTTAAGCTGTGCCAACTTAGGTCCAAAATTGTCAAAATCGGATCACAACATTTCAAGGCTACCGTTACCGAATATGTAAACTTCAATGTCAGTGGCTGATTTTTTAAATCGGCCAATTTATGAGATCTATTATTGAATTCTTTTACGATAATAATGAGCGGTTGTGTCAAAAATGGGTAAAATTTGGTCAATACTAACCCCGGTTCAACCTCCAGCTGCATCTCCAGTGCATTTCGGATTACACTAATAATAGCACTTAATGCCATTTTACACATACCACCTGTGGACATTGCTGGCAGATTCATTACTAGAAGGTGCRCTCTAAGTCTCAGTGAAGCTGAGTTTATGAAGAATTCCGAACCATGACACGCCCAAACCCCCTTTCTGCAACTGCATTTCTGAA